CCCCCAATGACAGGGGGAACACGGTGGGAGTTCCTGCAGGACTCGCAGGCGTGCTGCTGGGATTAGGGTGTGCCCAGGCACACCCGGCACACCCCGTGCGCACGCCTATGGTGTTCAACCATTTTGGAGTTGTTTTGCTAAACCCTTGGCTCCCTTGCAGAGGCTTGGCCAATATGGAAGCAAACTTCCGCATTAGCTAGCAAACTCTGTTTGGCAACTGTAAGCTGAGGGCGTTTGGAAACATGAGCTGTAGTGTTTATTAGTGCCCTATTTAATATTTATTTGCTCTAAGATGCCCATGTGACGGTACAATGCTTTACTCCGTCAAGCATTCCCTTCTTCCCATAAAAAAAAAAAATCCACAAGTAATCCACAAAGTAATAAATCGCTGGTATCGCCAAATAATCCACACATGAGCCAAAGCTTAATGCTGGAACAAGACTGATTTACTGGAAGCAACAGGCATTCAATTTATACAGTAACAGACTCCTCCTCTGGGCCAGGCTAGATAATTGAGTTTCAGCAACATACTAAACTCAATTATCTGCTGGCCAGAAACATTACAATTTTCAACATTTTTAGAAAAATACTTTCTGCATAACATAGAAATATATAAACCACATCCCTGGATAGCTGAGTATACTGGGAGTCACACATCCAAATTTCACGAAAATCTGTTCGGTAGTTTCCGTGTCGCATCGTGTAGAAGTCTGACTGGCTCGCCATGTGGTGCTATCCGATTTAGAGTTCCATGAAATCAATAGCAAGAGCCGGTCTCCATTCGCGCAGAATTACAGGAAAACTGCCATAGGTATGTTGCAGCCGGTTACATGAGAGTGCTCCCCTTGTTCGGTAGATTAAAACTCCCGAACGCCGGTTTTATACTATGGGTGGAAATAAGTCAGACGGGATTTCCACAACGACTGGACGTTCGTGTGATTGCCATGCCGAAAACAGTTCCAGGCCATCCACGAGTAAGTCCCGCTGACCGCATTCGGGAGATTTAAGATGGCCGCCATCCTTTGTTCTCGCCACGTGTTTGTATGCCGAATGGCGGCCACCTAGAAGCACTCTATTAAGTTGCGGTTTTTCGTGTGGTTACTCGGTGTTCCAAATTATGATTGCTACCCAGGGTGGTCTCCGTTCGGTAGAACGAATACATTTCCTGAACACATAATTAAAACGAAACGTTCAAATGTAGTTAAAGAGCAGGGAGAGGACACAACCGAATGAACACAGGTGAATGCAGGGAAATCCTTTACAGCCCACATCCCACTAAACCAAACAATATGAATATGTTTGCACTGTGGCTCACTTGCATCCACTCAAATATTAGTGTCTTAGTTTCATGAACAAAAAAACTTGGCCACAGTTTTAATACAACTGACCATTTATAATGAATATTAAGTTAACATCTGACCCTATTTAAAATATAAATAAATGTGAAACTTCAAAATAGTGTCACTTCTTTTCTTATTGTTTTAATACATTACTTATATGATGCTCAAGTTAGAACAATCCCATCAAAAGTACTACTTTCTTCCACAAAAACTTTCCTTTAAAGGGTTAATCCAAACTAAAATAGTGTTTATAAAAGTTTAAGTAATCATTGCTGGCATCCCTTTAAAAAAAGAAAGAAAAGCATGTATTCTCCCTCACTGTAGGGAGAGCAAACTAATGATGCAGACAGTGGTGAAATTACACATCCAGCAGTGTCATCGCATGTCTCTGTACATACTGATACTGAAACTCTGGACATTAACATTCTGAGCACCACGGCCACTTCAAATCACTGAAGTGGTCAAGATACTTTGAGTAACCCTTTAAAGAGCCATATTATCTTTGGTAGAGAAAAGTAAATATAATATTAGAATTGTGCACTTATTCTGGGGAATATACATATGAAAGCAATGCCATCTTATGTACTGCATTATCATTAATGTTTCAGACTGAAGCATGCTGGCTTTCTGGGCTGCTGATATTATTCCTTGCCTTTTTTTTTTTTTATGTGGTAGTTATCACCTGTACCAATTTCACAAAACATGCATGTCTTGTCACTGTACTACGATAACAGCAGCAACAACAAAAGAGCACAACAGTATGTGTGTGATACTTCGTGAACATACTTGCAGCCAGATCAGCAGTCACTGAAAAGCGGTGTGGAGTAGTAAATAAACTACTTTCTTTACTGCTACAAGCTTTGTGTACAAGGCTAAAGGCTACTTTTACGCCAGATAGGCTGTGTGCATCAATATCCTCTACCATTGAAGCAAAAGTATAAATTATGTCACTTAATTCTAGTAAAGAACTCACCTCGTTTGGGAACAGACCCTCCGAGCTATTAAAGTTTGATGGAGTCCATTGGCTGGATATGCTGACTTTCACATTACTGAAGGATTTTCTAGATGCATGAAGGAGTGCATAACTAAATAATAAAAAGCATATGAACATAGAGGTTAAATGTAACAAATGGCACAACAATTGAAAACAGTATTTTGCTAATTCTGCTTTATCAAAGTGTTCTTGTTCAAGTAGACAATTCCTAAACACAGATCCAAGTGAAGAAAAATAAAATTATGAGATTGGGAGCTTATCAAGATTGGTGGCTTTACAGGAAACTATCACAAAAGACAGTGTGGCAAATCTAGCCACTTATAGACTTAAACAGTATATTTAAGCAAACTGTATATTTCTGCCACTGTTATCTGTATTGTGCAATGTATGCGGCATTCGTGTGTTACAACACACGAATACCGCTAATGTTAAGTCTGGTTATCCACGAACAGTGAATCACCACACTGTTCGTAGAATAAGCAAAGTACCGAATGGGAGACCACCCATAGCAGGTTGCGTGTCTCCAATTAGGTACTTTGCAACATCGTATCTGTGCTGATTAAGGTCTGTTGCGGGTGGACGCCATTCGTGTACCGAACACGAGGTGGCGGCCATCTTTGTTCGCGGAAAACCAGCGTTTTGTCGTCGAGTGCCTGGAACTAAAATCGGCTACTCGGCAACACAAGCCCCGCTGGACTTCCGAGCCGTTCGGGAGTTTGCCGTTTCGGGACTTTCATTCCCTCAGTTCAGGCAATCGGTTAAACAAAGTGGTCCTGATAAAGGAAACTGAACCGCGTTCAGTTATTTGTGCTGGGATCTGAGCGCAAGTTCCCTTAACTGTGCGCCCAGGTCCCAACTATGTAATAAATGGTTAAATAGCTGTCTAGCACAAATATTATGTTGGTTATGGATTTTAATATGAAAACTGTATTTCTCTGTACCAAGGGATAATCCCATTAGCAATGCATTCTGGGTATATTATCTCCTTGGTACAGCAATGTATGCTGGGTACTCTGTCAAAAACTCAGTCCCCCATGTAGTCCCCTACTGGACAAACCCTGCATTGTGACTCGGGAAACCCCATACAATTGTAACCACATAAATACTGTGCCCGTAATTACAAAAAACTCAGCTGACCTCCAAGCTATGTGTCGTCTAGTTATTGGGAGAAAGGGATTGTAACTACGCTACCTGGATTTTGCCTGCTTTGTACCTGTTTTATTCTGTCTACTAGCGGAGATACCGTGGATAATACTACTACTCTGCTACAGACAGCATTCAGGGCACAGTGAAATCCCTAAACAAATGCTGGTCCTAAACCAGGGTTTCACAGATCACTGCTTTTATATCAGTGTGGTAGCACAAAAATTGGAACTGCTGCAGAAAAATGTGTCCCAATTGATCAGGGAAATGAAATATCTCTGATGCAAAGCCCCATGGTCTAGAAGACAGAAAGCTGTCTCTGCATGCTCAGGCAACAGAAACAGCTTCAAAGCTCCCCATGCTTTTCAGTGGAACATATGCATGTCCACAGCATGGAGGTAGTGATATAATCCTACATCCTTCCAGTGTGTGAATATACACAGCTGTATGCATGAGTGGGTGTATCTAAGTGTCTGAAGAATGTGAATGTCTATGTTTGCATGAACGCATGTATGAATATTTATCCATGTACAGTATAAAGCTCAAGATGCAAGTGCAAAAGTGTGTACTGTAGTGTAAAACAGATACAGTGCAGGGAGCACACATTGTAATCCCTACCTGAAGAAGGTCAGAAGAAAGACAGCAAGATGATGGTGTGTATATTGAGAAACCCATCTTTTCCACGCGGGGATCCTCCTGGATGTTCCTGGGAAATCCATGATTGAAAACAGCAGCTCACTGACACAAGTCTTTCTTTCCTGACTCAGCAATCAAGGTTAGTGTGGTTGCTGTGGACAGTCACATAGGCAAGAGATAAAGTAAATCATACAAGCAAAAAAAAACCAATTTTGAGAGAGGATACATGTATTTTAAGGAAAGATATAGACCTAAAGGAGACTAGAAAGCAAAAATAAAATGTAAGAACAAAAGCCAAGGAACTGTACCATTCAAAGTTGTTGTTTTTTTTCTTTTTTAAAGAGCCAACACGGTCCAGATTGCCAAGCCCATCAGATACATTTTACTAGGAGCCAAATTAAAGGAACGATTCCATCTTAGATGTATCATTGAAGACAATTGTGCATTTAAGTAATGTAATTTGCGCTGGAGAACCAAAATATAGTCTATGAATAGATATCACAAGCCTGGAGATAGTTTCGCTTTAACACTTCTTCTTTCACTCCCCATTTCTCTCATTTCCTTTTATTATCATGTTTCTTTCCCAGCTGATTTCTTTGGGCCTAAAACTTCAAGTTCCTTAATCACTTCTCCACAATTCCAATTTTAGTGAATAAACACAATTAAAAAGTTAAACGCCATACATCCATAAAGTTCTAGATAAAATTATAAAAAGTAAACATACTTGTTCCGATCCACACATTAACAGGTCCAGCGCCAGTTCTTTTCCTCTCTATAATTATCACATTATTGCATGGTATAATCTATTATACAGCATTTTAGGAGTGTTAATGCAAAACACACCAAGCTTGACTACAAAAATACAAAAAAGTATTTTACAGCTGGAAACCAGAGACAATAATACACTATGTGCTTCTCAAAGAATAATGCAATACCAAAATTCTACAAGAGGAGCAATAGATATGGTAATAATGATGTGTTCCTGGTGTTTGAGTCAAATTTAGACCTTTGCATTTACATTTTTATTTATACAGAACCCGCATAGCAGCAGTGAAAAAAAAATCCATTTGCTTCTCCAGTTATAAATGAAATATTTGTGCTGTTCAGGTACAGACTGTGGCTTTACTTTCAGAGGTCTATAAAACAGTGTTTATTCCCTTATTTCGGCAAACTGCTTCAAGCATTATCTGCGTTTCCAACTGTGTAAAATGCCATCATATTTCCATGCTATCCACAACCTTAAGTACTTTAACCTTCTTGTTTTAAATATAAAATTATAAAGCAAAGCACTGTCTGCAAAACGTCACTCATCCAATACAAATTGCCCAGTTAGGTCTCTTACAGCTAAGTGAAACACACTGTCCCATATACCCAGTCTTACCCTAATGGAATTACATGGTTTCTTCTGCCATATTAGATCCAAAAAAAATAAATAAACTGTTTTCATGTTACACCAAAGTGGTATATATTGACCCAGAGAACAGGGAATTCTCAGCTTGTTTGCCTGATATCATACATGCCCAGTTACACCAAGCTATAAATTCTGCCCACCTGCCTGTCCATGCACCTCTAGAATTACCACAGTCCCAGCATAAAGGGACCTGAGTGTAGACTACAGTAAAAAAACAAACACACGTTTACATTGTTTCTGAGGTTCAGGACACTCCCATAGAAAATAGGTCAATCCCTCCCCAGTGCCTGGGAGATAATTGTGTCAGCACTATATTAAAAACACAATTATCTCCAGGCACAGAAAACATACATTTTTACAAAACCCCCCCGTTACATCCCCTGATAGCCCCGATCTGGGTGACAAACATATCCAAAAATCACCCAGATCGGTTCAGGAATTTCCAGGAAGTCATAATTTGACCAACCGCACGCATGCATGGTCCCATGTCCATAGGAAATGCGGCCACCCAGACGAACACTTAGAACACTGTGGTGGAATTTGTTACAAAGTTGCAATTATGCTTAAAAAGCTCACGGGTGGTCTCCGTTTCATGCGGCTGTTCGGTTCCCGAACCATACAGTTCAAATACACGAACGGAAACTTTTTACTTTTACCATGCTATACAGCCCAGGTATTGTATATCTAGTATTGCTGGATACCATGCTATACAGCCCATGTATTGTGTGTGTAATAAATATATATATATATATTTTTTTTTGTATTGCTGGATACCATGCTATACAGCCCAGATATTGTATATATAGATATATATGTGGCAAAACTAGCCACTTAAGACTGTATTTGTATACATGTGTTTCTATAGCTTTAAGTTTGTTAGAACCAAGTGTATTCAGGTATCTGTATTTCAGGCGAACAAGAGCATTCGTATGCTGGCGGCATGGAAGCCACCAGCATTCATATCGTAGTTTCACAAACAGTGAATTTCAACACTGTTCGTGAAACAAATAAACTACCGAATGGGCGACCACACACAAGAGGTCGTGTGGCGTCCATTAACCGATTGCAACATTGTTGCAATCGGTAGTTAAGTGCTTTCCTAGGTGGCCGTCGTTCGGCTACCGACCACGCGGCGGTCGGCCATCTTGGATCCTTTGTTAGCCCAGCGGTATTTGGTCGTCGAGCGCCTAGAACTAAAATCGGCTCCTCAACGCCACGAATACCACTGGACTTCCAGGCCGTTCGGGAGCCCCGATCGTTCGGTAGTTTGTTCCCCTAATGTCAATCAGTACTTTGAATGTAACTTGAATATAATGTGTGTTTCGCGCGGCGTTCGGTTAGTTATGCTGGGATCTGAGCGGTATGCTCACGAACTGTACGCTCAGACCCCAGCTATCTACCGAACGTCCATTCGTTTAAATAGAGTGAATAATGTGAAAGTTTTATATTTTAATGTGAAATATTGGTTCTGCTGCACGGAGGGATAATCCACTTAACTGTATATTCTAGTGGGAGTATCCCTCTCGTCCAGCAGTGCATGATGGGAGAAATGTCCAGGTTGTTAAGTCCCCCATGTAGTCCCCTACTGTATAACCCCTGCAATGTCAGTAGGGAAACCCCTTACATGGGGACTTGCATAAATACTGTGACTTGTGAATAAAAACTCAGATGACTCCCAGCCTATGTGTCGTCTAGTTCTTGGGAGGGAAGTATTCTTACAACGCTACCGGGATTATTGTATGCTGTATTTATTTACCTGGATTATTTTATGCTGTTCCTGTTACCCAGCGGAGATACTGTGGATTATACTACCTCTCAGCTACATATATATATATATATATATATATATATATATATATATATATATATATATATATATATATATATATATATATATATATATATATATATATATATATATTTAGTATTGCTGGATACCATGCTATACAGCCCAGGTATTGTGTGTGTGTATATATATTTAGTATTGCTGGATACCATGCTATACAGCCCAGGTATTGTGTGTGTGTATATATATTTAGTATTGCTGGATACCATGCTATACAGCCCAGGTATTGTATATATATTTAGTATTGCTGGATACCATGCTATACAGCCCAGGTATTGTATATATATTTAGTATTGCTGGATACCATGCTATACAGCCCAGGTATTGTATATATATTTAGTATTGCTGGATACCATGCTATACAGCCCAGGTATTGTATATATATTTAGTATTGCTGGATACCATGCTATACAGCCCAGGTATTGTGTATATATATTTAGTATTGCTGGATACCATGCTATACAGCCCAGGTATTGTGTATATATATTTAGTATTGCTGGATACCATGCTATACAGCCCAGGTATTGTGTATATATATATATTTAGTATTGCTGGATACCATGCTATACAGCCCAGGTATTGTATATATATATTTAGTATTGCTGGATACCATGCTATACAGCCCAGGTATTGTGTATATATATTTAGTATTGCTGGATACCATGCTATACAGCCCAGGTATTGTGTGTATATATTTAGTATTGCTGGATACCATGCTATACAGCCCAGGTATTGTGTATATATATATTTAGTATTGCTGGATACCATGCTATACAGCCCAGGTATTGTGTATGTGTGTATATATATATATATATATATATATATATATATTTAGTATTGCTGGATACCATGCTATACAGCCCAGGTATTGTGTATATATATTTAGTATTGCTGGATACCATGCTATACAGCCCAGGTATTGTGTATATATATATTTAGTATTGCTGGATACCATGCTATACAGCCCAGGTATTGTGTATATATATTTAGTATTGCTGGATACCATGCTATACAGCCCAGGTATTGTGTATATATATATTTAGTATTGCTGGATAGCATGCTATACAGCCCAGGTATTGTGTATATATATATATTTAGTATTGCTGGATACCATGCTATACAGCCCAGGTATTGTGTATATATATTTAGTATTGCTGGATACCATGCTATACAGCCCAGGTATTGTGTATATATATATATTTAGTATTGCTGGATACCATGCTATACAGCCCAGGTATTGTGTATATATATTTAGTATTGCTGGATACCATGCTATACAGCCCAGGTATTGTGTATATATATATATTTAGTATTGCTGGATACCATGCTATACAGCCCAGGTATTGTGTATATATATATATTTAGTATTGCTGGATACCATGCTATACAGCCCAGGTATTGTGTATATATATTTAGTATTGCTGGATACCATGCTATACAGCCCAGGTATTGTGTGTGTGTATATATATTTAGTATTGCTGGATACCATGCTATACAGCCCAGGTATTGTGTGTGTGTATATATATTTAGTATTGCTGGATACCATGCTATACAGCCCAGGTATTGTGTGTGTGTATATATATTTAGTATTGCTGGATACCATGCTATACAGCCCAGGTATTGTGTGTGTGTATATATATTTAGTATTGCTGGATACCATGCTATACAGCCCAGGTATTGTGTGTGTGTATATATATTTAGTATTGCTGGATACCATGCTATACAGCCCAGGTATTGTATATATATTTAGTATTGCTGGATACCATGCTATACAGCCCAGGTATTGTGTGTGTGTATATATATTTAGTATTGCTGGATACCATGCTATACAGCCCAGGTATTGTGTGTGTGTGTATATATATATATATATATATATTTAGTATTGCTGGATACCATGCTATTACACCCCAGGTATTGTATATATATTTAGTATTGCTGGATACCATGCTATACAGCCCAGGTATTGTATATATATTTATTATTGCTGGATACCATGCTATACAGCCCAGGTATTGTGTGTATATATATTTAGTATTGCTGGATACCATGCTATACAGCCCAGGTATTGTGTATATATATTTAGTATTGCTGGATACCATGCTATACAGCCCAGGTATTGTGTATATATATTTAGTATTGCTGGATACCATGCTATACAGCCCAGGTATTGTGTATATATATTTAGTATTGCTGGATACCATGCTATACAGCCCAGGTATTGTGTGTATATATATATATATTTAGTATTGCTGGATACCATGCTATACAGCCCAGGTATTGTGTGTATATATTTAGTATTGCTGGATACCATGCTATACAGCCCAGGTATTGTGTATATATATATTTAGTATTGCTGGATACCATGCTATACAGCCCAGGTATTGTGTATATATATATTTAGTATTGCTGGATACCATGCTATACAGCCCAGGTATTGTGTATATATATTTAGTATTGCTGGATACCATGCTATACAGCCCAGGTATTGTGTATATATATTTAGTATTGCTGGATACCATGCTATACAGCCCAGGTATTGTGTATATATATTTAGTATTGCTGGATACCATGCTATACAGCCCAGGTATTGGGTATATATATTTAGTATTGCTGGATACCATGATTTACAGCCCAGGTATTTAATCTTCCAGACAGCTGGTAGCCCAGCCTAACTTCTACTGCAGCACAGTTTCGGCCGAAACCGCAAACGTCATGACCGAATGAATGTTACCTGTTCCAGGAACCTCCCCGGCCCCATAAGCCGGACTCTCCTTTCCCTCTTCCTTGCTCATCAGTCTCAGGCAGCCAGCTGCCAACGTAACCCACACTGCCCTCTTTACAGGAACATTTCCGGTCTGCTTCCTGTCAATACGCGCGGCATGACGGGAATCGTAGTTTGTAGGCGTGTACAGTCGGGATTAGCAGCTGGCTGTGGAGCGAAGCAGAAATGTTAAGGGGCTAGTTCGGCTTTAGTGGAGACATTGGGCGCTATGCACAAAGAGTAATTCTGGTTAAGAATTCCAAGTGTAGCAGTTAGAACTTTTCTACAGACTTACTCTTTCTACATAACCCTGTTATTGTCTCAAGTATTTGATGTTTTAGAACTAGCTGACTTTGGCGAGGTAAAAGTGTACTTTAGCGTATTTTATTATTTTTACCATTCCATCCTTCGTTTTTTTTATGGCTACCTGATGTAACTCTTAATAGAATGTTCTAGATTAGGAACACCTGATTGTTTGACTATTTAAAATAAAAATCAAGGTTGTGCCTTGCTCAAAACCTAACATAACCTACTAGAACTAGGGGCCCTACATCAATCCCCCCCCTACCTTCCCCTACACATGCAAACAGATACACATGTAGACACACACAGATACACACTCAAATACAGACATACACACACATACATACAAACACACACTCACATACAGATAGACAGACTCAGACATAAACACAGACATACACTCACATACCTTTCCCTGGGGTCCAGTGGTGGCTCAGGCTGATGGGAGTCAGAGTTCCCACTCTGACTCCCTCTCCTTCCTCCCGCGCAGCTCCTAGTGGTTGCTGGGAGGAAGTGACCGGTGCAGTCACTTCCTCACAGCCTCTGACATTCTGTTAAAGCGCTGATAGGGCCCCCTGGAATTACATAGCATCGGGTGGCCCTAACAGCATGGGCCACCTGATGGGCCCCTTCAATGCAGCCGGTGCCGCATTACTCAGCTGGCGGGAGCCGCGGTCTCACGGGTCCTCCGGGCGGCTGGGCCCCTTGCGACCGCGGTAGTAGTTGCGCCACTGCGTGAACGAAATGGTAAATAATAAAATACACTAAAATACACTTTTACCCTTTGACGATATATTGCAATTGTATTTGTTAATCATTTATAGGGAATCTATAGACATTAAAATAACTTTTGCTTAATTAAGCAGTTTTGGTGTATGTCCCTGAAGATTTTAAATGTATATTTTTAAAGGTTTTTTTTTTAAGGAATATTTGTAAAGGTTTTTTTTGTAATAATAAAAAAAGATGTTAACTTGCTTTAGAAATGTGTATGTCCTGCTCTGTAAATTGTACTTTAAAGGGACACTATAGGCATCCAGACCACTTTATCTGTTGGAAGTGGTCTGGGTGCAGTGTCTGTTTGTTTAAAGGCAAACTCTAGTGCCAGGAAAACAAAGTTGTTTTCAAACTAGCTTCCCCCTGGTGCACAAGGGTTTAAAAACCCCTTCTGTCACTTACCTGGATCCAGTTCTGATGTCTGCCTTGGCTCCTCCCTGATGTCAGCCAGTGTGGAGAACTAAAGCGCATGCATTATTCAACGTTTTCCTTTGGGGATTCCGGTGCATAGCATGAGGACGTCCAGCTTCATTTAGGCACCCAAAAGTCGCCTAACCACCAAGAAGTCCCTCTAGTGGCTGTCTAGTAGACAGCCACTAGAGAAGGAGTTAACCCTAGCAGGTAATTATTGCAGTTTATTAAAAACTGTACTAATTACCTGCTAAGGGTTAAGGGTGCTTGGACACTGCACCCAGACCACTTCAATGAGCTGAAGTGGGCTGGGTGCCTATAGTATTCCTATAATCCTGCAAGGTAAAACATTGCAATTTCTGATTTAATTACAGGGTCAACTCCATCTTTAGTGGCTGACTTCCAGACAGCCACTACAGACGCTTTCTGGTCCCTAATTAAGTTTTACTCAGTGAAACGATGTTGGACGTCTTCACACTTCACACGAGGACCTCTAACATCAATGCTTTCCTATATGGAACCTTTAATGCATACGGCACCCCGCCCCGCATATGCGCCTTAGGGCTAGAAAAAGGGCTAGGAAGGGGGAAAGACTCACAGAAGAGACACTCAGTGTCACAAGAAGCAAACATGCCATAGCCTTCTGGAGAGGCTTGAAGGCTAGACTTCTGTCCACAGACTATGGGCCCCATCGCCAGCTTTAAAATGAGTTATAGCATGTGGGGGTAAATTGTGCTATTTGTCAAGTTATTCTGTAAAATGTTGAACTAGAGGAAAACTTTTGAGTAAATTAATATATTGTGTAACAGATATTGTGCAATGTGTATTGGTGCGAGCAGGTAATTAAATTATCATAAGAAAAAAGAAAAGTACGGACAGAAGTCCAAAGGAGAGGATAACAAAAAGGAGGAAGCCCTACCTTTAATAGTACTAAGGATAAAAAATAATAATTATTATAAAAGAAGCATATACCAAAAAGTGGAAGGGAACAGCCCAAAAAGGCTGCAATTAGTAAGTACATTTAAAAACACACAGAGGTGGATGTGGATAAAAAGGCGCTTAAAATATTATTTGATGTGAATTATATAAAATATAGCTGCTATGTGCACTTTTAGTGAATACTCCACAAGACACTATAATTATAAAACATACAAAAAACAGTATCAAGTAGTAGAACAAAGTGCAAAAGACCTCAAACACAGCTTGATGTAAGTGCAGCGCTAAAACAGTATTATAGATTGTGATACACTTACCCCTCACAGTATATATGGGGTGTATATGTGAAAATAAACAGAAAAAACATATATAGAGTAGTATTGTCTGATGCGTTTGAAAATATATCAAATAAGTGAGAAGAATAAAACTCACATTTGAGAGAGCCTTTTATGAGGATATAGGCTCTAAACACAACAGCTTCTTTGCCTTTAAAGGTAGGCAATAGAACCTTAAAAACAGGAGCGTTCTTCTTTTCTTTTGTTGATGAATTATATCTCCAAATGAAACATAGAAAAAAGAATTCTTTGGTGCAGATGGTATGATCAAAGTAATAAAGCAGTCAGATAGAATGTATAAGCTCAAATTGCTCACCTTATTTAGAGCCTTTTAAACTGGCTCTAAGTATTGTAGGCATGGATGTCAATAACCAGATAGCACTTCTCTCTTATGGATACCACAGAAATGGAGAGGAGATGGAATAAAGATAACTAACAAAGATATTTATTGATACATAAAGTAATCATAAATAAAATATACATATGTATAATAAAAAAGAATCCTCTCTCTCCTCTATCCAGAAACGCGTTTCGCCATCCTTTTCGGCTTCCTCAGTCTGTACATTTAGACTGCTAATAAGGTTACAGAGGTACTGTAATTATATCAGCCTGCTTACACTGGTAAGTAAGGCTAGATGGGGTGATGTAGAGAAAAAATCTCACAAGCAAAAATGGCAGAAAGCCCCCCTCCCCCACCTGCAAGAATCCCCAAAGCCAAATATAAGCAGAGAAGCCAGGCTGACCCTGAATTACCTCAGCACAGTGGAACATCCACTAATGCCTACCAAAGCCACTATCCCTTCCTCCACTAAAAAAAACCACACACTTAACTAACTAAAAGACGTGCATAGTGCTACCTAGTGAATAAGGTGAAAAAAAAACAACAAATAGCTCGATGCGCGTTTCGGCGTGTCAGCAGCATTAAATGTAATCTGGGTGGACAAGAAAATATATACCCCTCCTTAATTACCAAAGTTACCACTGCTGTGTAATCAGGGTTTGTCCTGCAGTCATGTGACTCAAAAACCCAATGCCTCACCTTCCCTGCTCGCTCCCCTATCAGGGGCAAGGCAATCGGCATCATCCGCCTGTCCAAACGACCGATGTCCTAGCAAACAGACACATCCATGATGGGGGGCAACCAGACCCTGAACTAGTCCGGCAAATGCACTCCTCCAATCTAGACTTCGTGCCGCTCGCTGCAAAGACAAGGGGTGGTGCTAGCCGATGCCCACGGGAGCATTTACTATCCTCATTGGTCGGCAAGCGGTTTGTTTACATACCGCAACTCACGTGGTGTAACCCTGTAGGGGATCACCACTTAGAGGATGCAACAGTTTACCCAGGTGCCGACAGTAAGAATGTATCATATTATCGGGCAATAAAGATGTATTATAAATAAATTGTATCATATTGACTATAAAGATGTGTCAAAAATCTACTTATTTGTACTTTTTCTCGGCTTATAAAGCTGAAGGTTCTTGCAAATACTGGGAATAAAAATATATCATAAATCAACGTATTTACATGTATTCACACCTAATGGAATAAGTGATAGATGCCTTACTTCTTTATAAGAGAAGTATTAGGGTCTGTTTTTTAATACCAACACAACTTAAATTCCCTCTATGGGGAGCTAGCATTACACAACTATATTATGTGTATAAATAATAATCCAAAACATTAAGTTATGCTAGGACACCATGGGGGCCCATTCCAGGATTAAGGAAATATATTCCACCAGATTTAAGAAAACTGATCCTCACCAGATTACTATTATGGACCTTTTGAATAGATGGATGAATACGAAGTCATCCTAATTAAAGTATTATAGTCACAAACAGGGGGTGAGGGTGGGGGGAAAGGAAAGGAGAAGGAATATATAAACCACCAAGTGATGACCAAGGTATATACAACTATTTACAGTCCCTAGTAAGGAAAAATG